AATAAAATCGAAAACCGTCATTTTTCATCACACTTGATTTTTACAGAAGAAGATTTAAAAAAAAAAAAATGACGAAAACCGTGACGTCATCAAAAAACGAAAAATTTTCCATTGAAAAAATAGAAAAAAAATGAAAATCATTTTTGTTATTTTTATTATTTCATCATTTTAAATTTCTTTTTTTTTTTTTTTAACGAGTAGTACCGGTTGTAGTGCGTTGTCTTTGTTATCATTATTATTATTACGAATTTGCCATAATTAATTTAGAAATTTTTTTTTTTTAATAAACAATTATAAATCATAAAAACGATGCCCCCTACGTGAACCTAAAACGAACGGACGAATAATTAAATAAATAAAAAAAAAATTTTTTTTATTTATTTAATTATTGTTTTGAAAATTCTATCACAATTTAATAAAAAAAAAACAAACAAACAAGTAAACGATTCAAAATAATAAAAACAAACCTGAATACTTTAAAAAAAAAAAAGTAAAAGTTATAAATAATAATAATGATGATGATGATAATAAGTATAATTTTTTTTAATAAACGAGAGTGAAATTTTATGTGCCCCCCCAACATTTGAACTTTTGATACTTTTTTAAAAAAATTTTTTTTATTTTTATTTTTTTTTTTTCCTCCATAAATTTTTCTTTCCTTTTTAATAAATAAATAAATAAAAATAATTAGTTTTGATGGTAACCAATAAAAATTGCGTAAAATAAATTTCAATTTCATTTTAAATAAATTTTTTTTTTTTTTTCTTTTTTTGACGCAATGAAACGTGACTTGAAAGACATGCGAAAATAAATTTTTTTATTTTTTTCTATGTTTACACAAACTAACGGACCGTTGGTTTTCTTTTTTTTTTTTCGTCTTTGCAGACAGACGTAAAACACGCGCACGCACACGCACACACACACACACACACAGGAAACGGTAACGAAAAAAAAAAAGCAGTAGAAAAATGAACGATTCGTTATAATCAAACCTTAAAGTTGAGGTATTGTTACAATTTTTTTTTGTGATTTTTAAAATCAAAAAGTCAATGAATGAATGTAGAATGAATGAATGGAGAAAAAAGGATCTAAAACTTCGAAATAATCTTTTGTAAATGCAACAAAAAAAACAACCCCCCCCCAACACAACAATAAATTATTACAAACAATATAAATTTTTTTTTTTTAAGAGATCAAACATAAAAGATCTCCTTTTTAAAAAGAAAAGTTTCCATTTCTTTTTACGATTCGTTACGAAAAATTACAAAAAAAAAAATTCGATGAATTGGAAACAAACACACGCACACGCACACGCATATAAAAAAAAGAAGAAGAGCAAAAGTCAAAGTTATCTGAGCGTCATCAAAATAATCATCATTGACATTAAAAAAAAAATAAATAAAATGTCAATAACACGCACACGCACGCACACACACGCACACGCACACATACGCACTCACTCACTCACGCACGCACGCATAAACAAAAAAAAAAAAAAAAACGAAGCGAATTTTAAAATTTTAAAAGGAATTTAAAACGAGAAAAATAAACAAAATTTAATGAATGGAAACGAATTTTGGACATCGTTGGACATCGTCGTGTCATCAGAACGAATTATCAGAGGGACGTGGGGGAAAACGTGGAGGGGGGAACGTGGGAAACGAAATTTTTTTCATTTTTTTTCCCTCGCTGAATAAATTTCACTTTTTTAAATCAATTATATAAATCACACTTAATAAAAAACCACGTATACGTATAGAAACTTCACCTAAATTAATTCACGACTAGAAAATAATAATGTTAATAATAATAATAATAATAATAATAATAATAATAATAATAATAATAATAATAATTAACATTGATTAATGGTATCGGTGAAAGAACGCGTTCGTCATTTATATCGACACGAGAAGAGAGCGATATTAAAAAAAAAAAACAAGCAAACAAACAGAAACAACCAAACAAACAAACAAAACAATTTTCTCTCTCTCTCTCGTTAAAATTATACCAGTAAAATTACTACCCCTGAAAAATTTAATTATTTTAAAGAAACAAGAGAGACAGAAAGAGATAGAAAGAAAGAGAGAGAGACAGAAAAAAAAATGTCATCAACCCGCATTATCATTATCATTTTTAAAAAAAATAAAAACTTATAAAACGTTATTAGAACGATATTAAAAATTTTGCAGGATTACCAACAACAACAACAACAACAAAAAGTTTACGTGGGAAATTAAAATTACTAACGCCACGTTATTCTTTTTTTTGTTTCTCATTCATTTCCAAAAAAAAAAAAAGTGGAAGAAGAATATAATGCGTGTATGTGTATGTAGTTTTTTTTATGCACGGAAATACAAACGCAAACGAACGATAATAATAATAATAATAATAATAATAATAATAATAATAATAATAATAATAATAATAATAATAATAATAATAATAATAATAATAATAATTACGTTTTCGCTAATTTACCTTTAACATTTTTTTCTTTTCTTTCATTCCAACACAAAGTGGAAAAGGTATAAATTTTTAATAACATATTGTATTCATGATAAATTCATGTCCGTTTTCATTATTATCATTATTATTATTATCATTATTATTATTAAAAAACTCCGTGTAATTATTTACGGTAGAATTATTTTCAAATTTAAATCGACTCCGATGATGATAATGATGATGATCTACTTTTTTTTTTTTTTGTTTGGCGTAAAGTAATAAATGAAGAGAAAGAAAGAAAGAGAGAGAGAGAGAGAGAGGGAGAAAACTATTCAGAAAATTATTTTTTCCCATGTTCGGACAATGTTTTAGAAAAACATATTTAATAACAATAATAATAATAATGATAATAATGATAATGATAATAATTTTTTTGGGTAATTAAATAAAAAAAATTCATTTTCTCCCAATTCTTACTTTACCACCACGACCACCACCATCATCATCATCATCATTGTTATTATAATTTTTCTTTTTTTTAATTCGAATGAGTTTCTCCCTTTTTTTTTGGGGGGGGGAGAGAGGGAGGTTTTTTTAATTATGAGAAATAATTAATTTTTATTTTAAAAAAAAAATAAAAATTGGCCTATTCATCAAAATTAAGGAAACATTGTTTTTTTTTTTTTTTTTAATAAATAATGAGAACCCGAGAGAGAAAGGGAGTAGAAGAGAGAGGGGGTAGAAAAAGAAATTAATCCGAATTATTAATTTATCCATTGAAATAATAATAATAATAATAAAATTATTAAATACTAAACGTTTTAATGGAGGGGGGGAGATTTTTTGGAACACACATACACGTACTCCCGAAAACTTTTTTTTTTTTTTTCTTGCTCTCGTGGGATTAAAATAAATATATAAATAAAAATAATTTATTACGTTTTTTTTTTTTTTTTTTTTTTTTTGAGTTCCTCGTTAAAATCGTTTTGGGAAAACAAAAAAAAAAAAAAAAAAAAAACACCCAAAACCGACTTTTGTAGCACGGATTTCCGGTTTGTGTGTGTGTGCGTTACAGCAATAAAAACAAAACAAAAAAAAAAAATATTTTTTTCTTTTCTTTTTTTTTTTTACGGTAACGAATATTGAACGCACTGTTAAACATAAAATTTACACGGTGGTTACCGTATCATTTATTAACGGTATCCCTAATAATAATAATAATAATAATAATAATAATGATAGCAGTAATTAAACGGGAATAAAAATTAATTGTCAAAAAAGGTAATTATTATATTATTTTGACCTCGAAAACGTCATTTCATCATTTTTTTAAATATGATTGAGAGACGTTTGATGTTTAAGATGACGACTTTAAAAAATTTACTAATCCTATGAATCCCCCCCCCAAAACCTGATCGAAACTTTCGGTCCCCTCCCCCTTTCCTCCTCGCCAAAAAAAAAAAAAATATTTGACAGGAAGAAAAAAGAAAAAAAACGGGATCATCTTCTAAACGAAAAATTGTTAAGAAAATTGATACAAGGTCGCCCACGTATTTGCCATTATTCGATTCTCTGGATTCGTATTAATAATAATAATAATAATAATGATTATTGGGGGGATCCCGTGATATGTGAGTAAAACTAAAAAAAAAAGAGAGAGAAAGCCGAATAACAAGAATAAAAAACCAAAATTTTATAATAAAAAAAAAAAAAAAATTTTTTTTTCTTATTGTAAACGTTTAAAAAAAAAAAAAAAAGAAAATTATTATTATTATTAGTATTATTATTATTATCGTGGACCATACCGAAATGTTAATGATATTAAGTGAAAATTACAGGTAATTAAAAAAATTAATTTAATCACCTGTTAATCGATTTTAAAATTTAATGGCGAAAAAAAAAAAAAATTATCACGAATCTGTTAATGATAAAAAAATAAATTTTTGGGAAATTGTTTAAAAAAAAAAAAAAGGGGGAGGTACTCGATCGGGTATTAAAAAAAAAAAAAAAAAGGGGAGACATTTAATTGTTAATCATAGAGATATCAAATAATTTTTTTTGTAACGTTTTTTTTTTATAGTAATAGAAATTTAGAAATTCAAAACTAGTATATATGAATTTCATTTTACAGTTCTAATTTAACGTTGTCCTTTCTAATTTATAATTAACATTTTTATTTTATGATACTTTTTATATTTTTTCATAACATAATCATAAAAAAAAGAAAATTTAAAAAAAAAACCGTTGACGATTAATTTGGGGCGTTTTTAAAAAAAAAATTTTTTTTTTTTTTTTTAAGTGAAATTTTACGTTTGTGTGTAACGGTTGTGAAACGTTACTATTGATTTTTTTTTTTTTTTTTAATAATAGTTAATACTTTGATATAAATGTAATATTTGTAAAATATAGTTAAATAAATTTATAAAAATAAACAATATTTTTAGATTTGCCAAAAAAAAAAAAAAAATTCAACAAAATATTTCACAAGGTTCCAGTTTTAAATTAAATTAATTATTAAAAAAATTAAATTTTTTTTTTTTTTTTACCTGAACTCCGGATCCTTGTAGATAATATAAAATAGCAAACATCCATGTCACGGATATAAAAAGTATTAATTTCACATTTCTTCGCATTTTCCCGCAAGTTCTAATAAATAAAATCATCTAATACATTTGCCCGATTACAATCATCTACTAAACCCCGGCCGCACTCCATTTTTACTAAACAGCTGACTTTGAATGCAGTGGTGCCAAATTATTTTTCATGGCGGGGGACAGTTGGTTTCCATTATTAGACATCATGAACAAACGGTTAAACATTATTTCACGAACTTTTATTTACAACAAACTTTTTATATTTTATTTTAATTTTTTTATCGACATTTTTTCCTATCGCGAAAAACAATTCTAAATTTTTAAATTATCGTCTATTAAAAATAAATAATGATAATAATAACAAAGTTACAAAAAAAAAATCATTTTTTTGTTGGCAACCTTGTCGTAATTATTTTTGAAAAACGACGCCTGCGTCGCATTGGCAGCACAATGCAAGTAGTTGAAATGTCAAAAATCTTATTGGCCATTGAAGATATTGAAAATCGAAGAACAGGAAATTCGTAATAAAAATTATATTGCGTCATATCGAATTATTCTAAGCAAGATTTCGTCTGCTAACAATAATGTAAATATTTCAAATTTAGTTTTATTTAAAAAAAAAAAAAAATTTTTTTTGTTTAAGTATTATCATTAAATACCTAACAGTATTATTATTTCAATCTCTTATATAAATTATATTAAGGAAACTAGGTATGTTTAAAACATTTTATCATATTCATTATTTAAAACAAAGGAATTTTGATTTTGATCTGTCAGTTTTAAAAACAATTCACTTTAGAAATGTCACAAGCACCAATTAATTATATATAATATTAATTACTTTAACAATTATGTACTGTCGATAAGTTTATTTAATTTGTAAAATGTTTTACCGTTTGTGTCGATACAGTGCAATGAAGCACTTAAACATATGTCATCATACTGTCATGTTGTCATCATTGTGCACAATCACTATCATTATTATTTGTTTGACACACTATTCGAATAATAATAATTATTTTATTAGTTTTATTTTTTTGTAGGGGTAAATTAGTGTAACATTTTTTCTCGAGATAAAATTGTCAATTGAATTTAATTTCAATTGCAGGTTTTTTGCAGTGTTTTAGAGTATGAGTGATTCGACACAACTAATTCCGCTAAAAGTAAATATTTTTAGCTCTAATATATTAATTTAAATATCAGCATGAGCATGAGCATGTGCCTGAAAACATGTGCCTTAGCCTGTGCCTATTAATAAACTTGTTGATCGAATAGAAAAAACGATATAAATTTTTATATATACCATCATGCTAAAATTTATTTTATTATTTTAAAAAAATTATTTCGAAAACTCTCTCTCTCTCTCTCTCTCTATGTAATTAATTACACTTAGTGTTACAAATCTTATTTTAACAGTTTTTTATATGAGTAGGTTATGAAAAAAAAAAAAAAAAAACTGTAGTTTGATATATAGATCAAGATTACTTTTTTAAATCGACAACCTACATTTTCTTCATTTAATCATACATGTATGGGATTTTATAATTTAATCTAGAATTTTGATAATAAGTAATATGAATCCTTGATAGTTATCCATAAATTTTAAAACAAATGCAAGAAGACAAATTTCTCTTTTGACACATTCGATAAACATGGTAGACCATAAGAATATAATAAATTTTTGAAACGAAATCGAATAAAATATTTTTTTTTTTTTTTTACAGAAGACCAGACATAAAGCATTAAATTTAAAGATAGACATTTAATTTTTCTTTTTTTTCCTTTCGTTAGTCATTTCATTGTCACGTTTTAATTTACAGAAAAAAAATTTTAATTGATGATAAATAGGTTACAGTCACAATTATGCTTTCATGTTTTTTTTTTTTTTTTTATCATATCAGTTAGTCGCAAAGCTATTTCATTCTTACAAATGATTCATTTTTACAAAACGAGGACAAGAGAGATTTTCTTTTTAAATAAAAAAATATTAAATAATGAAAACAAAATAGAAAACAAATAAATTGTTGAGGGTTTTTTTTTTTTTACGTGGGGGGCGGGGGAGGGGGACTTAAATCTTTTTTGACCGAGGTCATTGAATTTAATAAAAGCCATAAAAAAATATATATAATATGTTATAGAAAGAAAGAAAGAATAAAGGAACCTGTTTTTTTTTTTTTTATAAGTAATTAATCGGCTTATTGCTTATTTAGTACCCTCGTCAATTTAAAAAACTTTTTGTTAGAGCTTTTTAACGAAACCCCCCTCACCGCCCCCGCCCTCCCCCCGTCGTTTGTATTTATTTATCACTTACGTGTAATGGTATATAATTTCCAAAAAAAAAAAAATCAAGCATGAGAAAGAATACATGTGATTTGTTTTTTTGGGGGAGGCGAAGGGGAGGGGAGGAGGGTTTGCTGTGTGAGATATTTATTATTAATTTATTTAATTTTTATTATATGTCGTAAAAGTTGAGATTTAACTGAGTTTAAATAGAAAAATGGAATTGTAAATAAATGCAGACCTTGACATTTTGTGACAATGTGAACTGTCGTTTGAGTTTTTCTTTTCTTTTCCTTTAAACCTTTTTTTTTGATTACGTTGAATTTGAATGCGTGTGAAAAAGAAACAAAAAGAAAAGAAAAAAAAATGGCACGTTTATTAATTGTATTTAATTGAAAGTTTGCGAATTTTAAAAAAAAATCGAATCGAAACAATCGAAACGATCGATTATTTGTGGCATTTTTCAAAAAAAAAAGGAAAACGTTTACACGTGGGAAAGGTTACGCGTGGGGGGGAGAAAAAAAAGAAACCATCGAACGGTTTCTATTTCTTCTCGAAGGAAACGTTTTAAATTAATAATAATAAAAATGATGACAAAGAGAAGAATGAAAGCCCCTCAGTAAATTAATTAAGTGGTATTATTATTATTATTATTTTTTTTTTTAGGAAATCGAATCGAAATAATTTTTAAAAAAAAAGAAAAAGGAAAAAAAAATTATTTTAATTGCTAATTCGTAATCAATCAATTAACGAACTGAAATTCGTCATTCAATTTAACGTGTCATTAAATTTCTTTATCATTTCCATGTTTTTCTTTTTATTTTCCCGCAGGAAAAAAATGTCACACGTGGATTTTTTTACGTGAAAAAGAAAAGCTTTATGTTTTTTTAATTTTAGGAAAGTAACTTTTCATTGATTATCTCAAGAATTAATAATTTAGAAAGGTGTGTGTGTGTGTGCGCGTTTTGTTGCTTTTTTTTTTTTTTAATTTGATCTAGTTACACGATCCGGTAAGGAAAAAAATCGTTTTTAAACTTATCCGGGATCGAATAAGAAGATTATATTGAATTTAAAAAAAAAAAAATTTGTCCAGGGAAGAAGTCATACAGTTTTTCTCTCTCTCTCTCTCATGTTTATTTCTTTTCTGGAATTTTTTTTTTATTACATTTACTTGATAGGAGAGGACATGGAATTTTTTTTTCGTTTGTAATCTTCTTAAAATATTTGTTTTGTGAACATGGAAAAATTACTATAATCGATATGAGAGGAAAATTCTATTCGCCATTCAAGCGAATGAGTGCTCAAAATCATCACCATCATCATCATCATCGTCATAATTGTTTTTGCTTTGTTTGTTTTTTAATGTTGTCGTTGTTGTTTTTGCCGTCAGCGACGAGAACAACAACAACAACAAAAGAGAAAGATATATTTTAAAAAAAATATTCCACGGAAAATTTTTCTGTCGTATCTTATACAAACGAAATTCGTAATAACCAGATAACTTACCTACCATTGAAAAATAATATATTGAGTCATTATAAAACGAATGAAAAAAATTCGAGGGAGTGCGATGATGATGATGACCGAATGAAAAGTTTTTTAACGTGCGCGGAAAATTGTTTTAAGACTTTCGACAAAGACGACGACGATAATTTTTCTCAGTTAATTTGAGTTTAAAAAATTTTTTATTTCGAGACTTAATTAATACGCGAAAATAGGAAATTTGAGATAACCCCGCAAACGAATAAGTTTGACCTTTTTTTTTTTTTTCCTACATTTCCTTCGTCAAATTTTTCGAACCTTGTAAAAAGGAAATTATATTTTCTAGAAAAAAAAAAACGGGAAAATATTTCGCGTTATTTATTCATATAATTTGTGCGACCTGCTGATTTTAAAAAAATAAATTATAATTAACGGTTTTTTTTTTTTTTGTAAAAAATGTTAAAAAATTACGGAACGGTTAAGGAAAAAGATAGAGCAATAAATAATGGGGTGAGTTATTATTATTATTATTAGTATCAACGGGTTCGGGTTATTTTTTTGGGTACTATTTAATAATCGGAGTACGTTAAGGTATCGAGAAAATGTCGTCGATGACTTTTCGAAGGAATTTTTTTTTATTAATTTTATTTAATGGAAAATCTGAATAGTTTTTTTTTTTTTGTGAACGTGTAAATAGACACGAGGAGACGTTCTGCTCAATATCCAAATTTGAAAATGCATGAATTTACTTACGACGCAAGCGTAAAAATAAAAAAATAATTTTTTTTATTATTAT